GATAAAAATAGGAAAGGAAGAAGTCAAAATATCACTGTTTGCTGATGCTGTGATCATATACCTAGAAGATCCATATACTTCATCAAAAGTCTGCTAGAGTTAATAAGTAAATTAGGCAAAGTAGCAGGTTACAAAATGAACATAAAAAATCAATAGCTTTTCTATATTTCAACAAGGAATGTGGTGAGAAAGAAATCAGGAAAACAATTCCAATCACAATAGCTTCAAAACAAAAAACAAACAAAAACAAAGGAATATATCTAATCAAAAAGGTGAAAGTCATTTACAATAAAAACTGCAGAACATTGAAATAATCTCAGAGGATAGAAAGACCTCCCACGTTCATGGAATAGGCAGAATTAATATGGTTAAAATGGCCTTACTTCCAAAAGCAATATACACATTGAATGCAATTCCCATCAAAATACCAATGACTTTCTTCATACAACTAGAAAAAAAAGTCCTAAAATTCAACTGGAAGAATAAAAGACCCAGAAATAGCCAAAGCAATTTTATGCCAAAAAGCAATACTAATGGCATCACAATACCTGACTTCAAATTATACAACATTTCTATAGTAATAAAAAGTGTATGGTCCTGAAAAAAAAGCAGATACATAGCCCAATGGAATAGAATAGAAGACAGAGACAAACCCACACATCTACAGTTGTCTGATCCTTCACAAAGGTGCCAAAATGTACATTTGGAGAAAAGACAGCCTTTTAAGCAAATGATGCTGGTTATCTATATGTAGAAGGATGAAACTAGACCCTTATTTCTCACCCTGTACAAAAATCAACTCAGAATGGATCAAAGACCTAGAAGTTTGAGCAAAAACTATGCTACTCTTATAGAAAACAATACCTACTCCTAGGGTCAACACTCCAGCTTTTAGGGACAGGTAGCAATTTTCTCAATAACACACCTAAAGCTCAGGAAAGAATGTGAAGAGTTCCTTAACGGGATGCTATCAAATTAAAAAGCTTCTGCACATCAAAGGGAACAAATAGGAATGTAAAAAGGGAACCCACAGAATAGGAGAAAAATCTTTGCTAGCCACTCTTTTGACAGAGGATTAAATCCTGAATATATAAAGAAACTCAAACCTTCACACCAATAAACAAATAACTCAGTTAATAAATGGGCAAATGAATTAAGCAGACACTGCTCAAAGAAGAAATATGAATTGCTAATAAATATATGAAAGAATGTTTTAACATCAGTAGTGATTAGGGAAATGCCAATCAAAACTACATCATCTCATACCAACAGAATGGTAATCATCAAGAATTCAATTAATAATCAATGATAGGATGCAGAGAAAAAGGAACACTTTTGCACGGTTGGTGGGATTATAAATTAGTACAACCACTATGGAAACCAGTATCGAGATTCCTCAAAAGAGTAGCCATGGAACCACCACATGACCCAACTATACCACTTCTCAGTATTTATGTTGAAGAATTAAAGTCAGCATACTATTTTGATACATACATACCCATGTTTATAGCTCTGTAATTCACAAGAGCCAAACCATGAAACCAGCCTAGGTGTCCATCAAAAGATGAATGAAGAAAATAGAAAATGTGGTGTATATATATATAAATAGTGGATTTTTATTCCACCATAGGAAAAAAATGAAATTATGTCATTTTCAAGAACAGAAATGAGTGGAACTAGAAATGATTATGTTAAGTGAAATAAATTAAACACATATGAGGAAGCTAGAGAGGAAAAAGGAAAATAAAGGTGAGGGTGGATCTCAGGAAATCAAAGGGAGATCAATAGAAGAAAGGGACTGAGGGGTAGGAGGCAATGAGGGAGTAAGGAGGTATTTATATATAAAATATATATTTAATATATTTATATAATATATAAAATATATAAAATATAATATATTTTATATTTATATATAAAATATAAAAATATAATATATATTATATTAATAT